TTTGAAGAACGAGACATTTGGCCCTTATATAGGTATTCTAGATGTGACGTATATCTCATTTGATCCCAATAACTCTGAAATGAACTATTCTAAATATGACATACAAGTCTCCCATTTGGCCCTTATATAGGTATTCTAGATGTGACGTATATTTCATTTGATCCCAATAACTCTGAAATGAACTATTCTAAATATGACATACAAGTCTCCCATTTGGCCCTCATGTAGGTATTCTAGATGTGACGTATATCTCATTTGATCCCAATAACTCTGAAATGAACTATTCTAAATATGACATACAAGTCTCCCATTTGGCCCTTATATAGGTATTCTAGATGTGACGTATATCTCATTTGATCCCAATAACTCTGAAATGAACTATTCTAAATATGACATACAAGTCTCCCATTTGGCCCTCATGTAGGTATTCTAGATGTGACGTATATCTCATTTGATCCCAATAACTCTGAAATGAACTATTCTAAATATGACATACAAGTCTCCCATTTGGCACTCATATAGGTATTCTAGATGTGACGTATATCTCATTTGATCCCAATAACTCTGAAATGAACTATTCTAAATATGACATACAAGTCTCCCATTTGGCCCTTATATAGGTATTCTAGATGTGACGTATATCTCATTTGATCCCAATAACTCTGAAATGAACTATTCTAAATATGACATACAAGTCTCCCATTTGGCCCTCATGTAGGTATTCTAGATGTGACGTATATCTCATTTGATCCCAATAACTCTGAAATGAACTATTCTAAATATGACATACAAGTCTCCCATTTGGCCCTTATATAGGTATTCTAGATGTGACGTATATCTCATTTGATCCCAATAACTCTGAAATGAACTATTCTAAATATGACATACAAGTCTCCCATTTGGCCCTCATGTAGGTATTCTAGATGTGACGTATATCTCATTTGATCCCAATAACTCTGAAATGAACTATTCTAAATATGACATACAAGTCTCCCATTTGGCCCTATCAAACTCATCATCGTCACAATTCCATTGAGCAACAATTTTTTTAATTGCTTTTTCTGCGTCTTTTAAAGACAATTTCCTTCTGTTAAAAAAAACCTTAACCTTTTTGTCATGTTTTGGCCCATGTATCAGTTTGTTGGCACCGGTCAATCTCAGCATGACATCGTCCAATTGTTGTCGATTCAGTTGTGAACAGAAAAATGCTTCTTCGGGATTCTCGTACAAACGCTTTACCTGTTCTGTTTTCGTTTTGTTGACTGATATGTTCCGTATCTTTACAGTTCCCCAATGAGATGTGTTGATGTTTTCAACGAACGCAGCAAAACGGGTTGCGCAATCTTGGAATGACAAGTCTGAATACGGCCTCATACAAACATAAACTACACATCTTCCAGTCCATGCATCTGGTGAAAGAGATTTTATATTTTCTATCACTGTCTCCTTCTCAGTTGTATCATCCAACGGTGTATATTCCTCAGTAGCCATTCCTTTGGCAACTGTTTTGGAGTACCATAATATCACACTGCCCTTTGTTGCATAGACAGGGATTTGCCATTCCCCCCCCCCTTTATGCTCTAATTTATCTATCAAGGTGTCAGTTATTTCATCGGGAATTCTCACTGCTCCTTCTGCTAGGTCAGAACTCAGTTTCTTTTTCATACGCTTATCGTTTTTTATCAGCATCGACTTTATTTCTTCGAAATATGTATGACTCTTCGGTGAACAGACGAACGCAGCTGTACTGTCAGAGAGGATCACTTGACCTGCGATAATAACAACATCGGTATTAATAACCGACACAAATGTATTTTTAAATGATTACAGGTTATAGTGTTTATGTACAAGTTTCATTTCGTTTGTGACAGGTGTAAACATATCGAATCACATTATGAAAACAGCTACTGGATGGATTGCAGCTGCGGTATCCATATTATTACATCAGAATAACTTTATACCGTGAGCGGAACTTTTAAAGTGGTGGCCTCTACTGGGCAACCTTTTCAACTACTGCGAAGTTTACTATTTGACTTTTCAAACTAGACACATCGCACGCTTTTCATTTTCAGTCCCCGTTCGGACGTAGTCCGAAAATGGGGTTTTATGTTTAGACCTCCGTGCGTCGTGCTTCCGTGCGTCCGGACCTGTATCTTAGAAATGCCTGGACCAATCACAATCAAACTTCACACATACATGATATTATACATATGCACATAAATTTGTTTCACTATCTGATTTAAAATGACCGAATGGCGGCCATTTTTGTGCTAAAAAAATCATCACAATCAAGCATATCACGGCTGTTTAGTACACTGAGATGGAATTTGTTCAAACTTGGTATATGCGTTGGACATTATAGGATCTTGATGCACATCATTTTGTTTTTCAGATAAGATTCAAAATGACCGACTGGTGGCCATTTTGTTTTAATGAATGTGGTTCTAGTGCCATATCTCTGACTTGCTTTGACTGATTATGTTCAAATTTCAAATATTCATTATACATCATGTCATAGATATACAAATATATTGGTTTGACGATCCTGTTAAAAATGGCCGAATGGTGGCCATTTTTGTGCTAAAAAATTATCAAATATCAAGCATTTCTGGATGGATTTTGTTCAAACTTGGTACATACGTGTTCCTGATGCACGCCATTTTATTTTTCAGATCGGATTCAGAATGTTTGACTTGCGGCCATTTTGTTTTTATGAATGGGCTTCTAGAGCCATATCTCTGACATGCTTTAACTGATTATGTTCACATTTTATATATTCATTTTACATCTATTCAAAATGGCTGATTTTGTTTTAATTGATGCTGTACCAGGGCGATATCTCTCAATACTGACATGTTTATATTCCAGCTATATTTAAACAAAACTATATATCTTAAATTCGATAATTAACGGGGACTGTGCCATGTATGTTATGGTACAAAGTACTAATACCTTACTGCATTTGGGAGAGAAAATGTTTGGTGAATTAATACTTGATAACAGTTTTGTGAGTTGAATTATTGTAACTTGTTAAGGCCTGTTACGTCACTATATCACCTGTGATTCATCAATGAATGCTTAATGTTAAAAAAGTAAAATATTGCGTACATTCTTCCGAGCAAGCTCCCATTACAATAATCAGTGATTTGCTCGTGAAATGAACAATACAAGGTTTGATCAAATAAAACCAGCACCATCAAAATATTACGATAATCAATGACTAAGCTTACAACAATCAAGTATTTGGATGCTATATTGATTGATACTATTATCGAATTGTCTTACCTTGTACACAGTTTGCAACGTCCGTCAATCTGATCAAGGTGCGGCCAATCCGAATCTTTTGAACCGTTACCAGGTTTTGTATTTGCATCTAAATTTATTCCGTCACCACTTACTATGAACCCCCCAGCCTCGCTTTCAGTCACCGCGTACGCACTTTCAAAAATTCGTCTAATTTTCTCGTCTTTCCTAACAGTCCACACAGCCGAGAATGCATTGTTGATACACTGTATAAGACCTTCACGTATCATTGGAAAGGAGTGGCGGCTTCTCTGAGTAAAAGTTTCTGGATTAAATCTATCTATACCATCACTCAGACACCCATAGTCATGTAGAATACTGTCCATTAATGTGTCACATTCTGTATTGGTGAAAACCCCAGTCACCACGGCAACTCCAAATTCACTCAGCATTTCCTGTATAAGTACGTTGTCTTTCTTGGACGCGACCATCGTGTAATCTACATATGGTACGCAGTTCTTAATTCTATATGGTGTGTCGCTCGTTGTATTTGTGGGCATGTTCGACGAAGATGACTCCATGATTGATATCGGAACAGTCAGTGTCGTACTTTTTGTTGAATCAAGCGAAGAAATGTGTTTACCCAAAGACATGCAGCCGAAACCAAAGAAGACGTTAGCAAAACAATTTACACCCCGTTCGTTTATGGTGTAACTGCAGTGTAAATGTAGTGCTCTTTCGGCTCCTAGCTCTATATATATGTTAGCTATTACTTAAACTCTGGCGGGAGTTGTGCAACCGGGTCTAGAATACATGCGATTTCACGAAATCGAAAGTGGTTTCACAACTATGTCCTGTTTTGCGCAATATTCACTGCATTGTGAACTACGCCCTCAAGCGTGCATATCTTTGTTCTTATATGTCATTGTTCCCGTAAGGGTAGGCCTTTTTCTTATTCAGTGACTGGAATATTGCTGTCCCTGTGCAACTATTTTCAGTCGCCGAGTATCTGTATCTTTTATTCCAACGTTGCCGTAGCCTAAACATTAATTTTGTGATTTTTTTTTGACTGTGCTCCCCAGAAATCTCATTAATGTACTTTACTTGCGTTAAAGAGTGGAAAACAAATTAGATTTGCATATAATTGCCGTGGTAACGGTGACCTCAGTGTTGTCAACGGTTAGTATCACTATGTACATATGTTTGTGTGTAGTGCAAGAGAATAGGCCACGGGACGGGGGGGATTCAAGGGTATTCAAACAGCTCCCGATGTCCCATGGTGTTATTACCTACTTGTATACTAGCTATTACTATTTTCCCGCTAACAAATAATTCACTGTCGTCAATGACAACGTATGCTTTAGGACTTTAATGCTTATAATAACTTCTCAACAACAACAATTGAACTTTATGCTTGAAGTTTGCAGCGGGGAATTACTAGTATGCCGAGCAACACCATGACAGGATAATCGCCGGTTATGATCGCCGATTGGCTACTAGCGTTGTCGCATACCAGGCCGATGTATATAGTTAAACACTCCGGTCAAATACATATTATATCAATAGTCAAAACGTTGTACGAGTGACTTTGATGTAGTTATACTAGCCATGTGTTTTGCAATGATCAACGTGATGAGATATACTAGTACTTGAAAATTTATTACTAGTATTTGCTTAAAATATTGTCAGGAAACGATTGTGATTGGTCAGTATGTTTGAGGAATGTGGTAAACTGATTTACCTGATTCATTTCACAGATGAAACTATTTTATCGGAAGTTAATATCTGGAGAGAAGAACTTGATTCAAGACTTGCCGAAGTAGTGGGATCAACGTACGTTTTACTGGATAGCAGATTAGAAACATGTTGTCTCGAGGAATGCAATCTACAGAACTTAATAATGGATGCAATGGTGTATTATTACGCTAAACGGGGTATCAAAGATGTTCCATTGGGAATTATCAACGCTGACAGTTATGATAATTATATAAATGTGTCCGAATCAGGTATTATGTTATAATTAAGTAAGATGACATGACATGAAATGACATGACCTGACCTGAGATGACATGACATGACTTGGCCTGAAATGACATGACCTGGCCTAGCCTGAGATGACATGACCTGACTTGAGATGACATGACCTGTCCTGAAATGACCTGACCTGAGATGACATAAAATGTCCTGAGATGATCTGACCTGACATGAGATGATCTGACATGAGATGACATGATCTGACATTAGATGCATGATATATCTTTATTATTATAATTCAATGAGAAAAACATTGCGCTGTTTCGGACATTTCAAAAGTCTAGGTGATTCAATCGTTCCATCGTGAAGAATGAAGGCGAAACACAGAGAACAAAATAGTCGTTTCTGTGCATATAGTTTAATTGCAACCCAGTGATAGTTGCGAGGTGCTAAATGTATAAATTACATGTAGTGTATCATAGTTTACAAATGATTCCCTAAGACGGTATCCCTTGATATGTG